ACTACTGCTACGACTACTACTGCTACTACTACTACTACCACCACTACTCCTACTCCTACTCCTACTCCTACTCCTACTCCTACTCCTACTCCTACTCCTACTCCTACTCCTACTGCTACTGCTGCTACTACGTGAAAGCTCCGTGATGGTTCCCCGCAAAGGCATCGAAGACTCAGCGAAGAAAATCATGTCCAGAAGAAGGAATCTCCCGTATCTCAGGGCAGAGTTTCTGAGTGTCTTCCGCCAGGCAAAGGCAAAGGCAAAAAGGATGGTCGCGGAGGCACAGCATGAGCTTCCACAGGACATGACAGGACAAGAGTGGAAGTGTGCTTGCTGGGGCTGTCACGAGCTGGTACGGCAAGACTCAGGAGGGATGTTGGTCTCATTGCCAGGTGATGAAGCTGGCTTCAAGCGAGTGCCTCCATCGAATAGATTGGAAATGGCGATCACAGTGTGAAAAAACTTTTGACCTTGTTGTGAAGGTGGAGCCACAAATTTCCGAGGGACTGATGGAGGCCTCCCGCAACTTGCTTTCGGTCAAACAAGCGCAAGGATATGCGGCGCAAGGATGCGACAAGCGTACTTGTTTTGCCAGCAAGCCCTTTGCCAGTTTGGGACTGTTATTCGCTTCGAGCGGATCGAGCGGAGACTTGCAGTCTCTTTCTCTCAATTCTTGCCCCTCAGCCAAGCCGTTTATTGTGCGGCCGGCCCATATGACACACATCGAGACGTTTGGACTGCTTGACGGTTCCTGCAGGTCACTTGTGCCTTGGTGCAACAGCTGGCAAAGCCAGGTTGCACGGCCTGCGCCTGAGCTCTGCTGAACCTGGTCGCCAGTTGCTCTGCTGTAACCAAGATTATTGTGTTCCTGCCGGGCATTGCAGACATCACCCAGCTCTTCGAGGTGCCTCCCTCTAGAAGGCCTAGATGTCGGCACGGTGCCCTGTCCGACGGGGTGCTTTAGCACTATCCTGTCGTGCTGCCCCTTGCTCCAAACCAGGACTCATGTAATCCCAAGGCACGCAGGAAATGACTGCAAGGGTCCTGACGGCGTTCACCACGCTCTCAACATTCTTCCAGAAGATGGGCACCGACGATCCAGACTCGATCTGAACGGACTGAACGTGCGGGGACATCGCTTTTGATGCTTTTGCCAGGTGGGCCTTAGCCTTCTGGCTCTGTTCTCGACTTGTAGCTTGCGCATCGCAGCGTGCCGCGCACCGTTCTGCATGATGTGCCGCAAGTGTTTGGTTGCGGCATGAAAGAGGGGTCCAAGCTTCTCTGTTTTTTGTGCAGTCCCTGGCGCCTTTGGACGATGTGCGCTCCTTCGGACGGCCCGGCGTCGTGCGACGATCCGACTGCCCCAGGCCTTGCATTGTCGTGCCAGAGACAAGAATGCAACACTTCTGGTCACTTGAAAGGCTTCGGATCTTCGCCTTGCATTCCATGGTTCCTCGACAGGAACAGGAGGACCGTGGGCCGTGGGCGCGTGTAGTAGTTTTCCGTCCTTGCCAGACGGAATGTTTGAGGCGACGTAAGGATGCCGAATGAGCATGGTAATTTGTGGCTCACAGCGCCCTTGAGCCTCTGGAAACTTAACCATGTGCGGACCGCCGCGGCAGAGTCGCCAGATAGCACTGTTCATTGATGGCGACCAAGTGGGTTCTCTAGCGTTTCCGCCGATCATGGCTGCGCTTTCTGCTCGAAGCATCGAAGCATCTTGTAAAACATGACATTCCAGTTTTCGGTGTGTCTGCCCAGTAGGCTGCGATGCACGGATCATAATTAGAGGCTTTGTGGGAAGGTGTTGTTCTTGTTCTCCGCATCTACCTCGATGAGACGCGTGGAAAACCTCTCTGGAACTACACGGTATATCGGCAGTATTGGTTCCTCGCTTGTCAGGTCACAAGGATCCAGCCGACATTCTGATGGCAATGGATGCTGCCGAAGTGGCCCTTTCCAGAGTAGTGGCCATTGGGGTTGTCGCAGCAGATGTGGACTTTGCCATCGTTCTTCGGAAGCTGTGAAGTTGGGGCGTGTGGACTGTTGCAATTTTCCAAAGCTTCGGCAGTCCAATTTGGTTGAACAACTTGCAATCGCTGCGGACGAGGTGGTTCACTGCAGCGTGGAGAAGCCGGCGGCATTCTCACGTCGGATGTCATCAACACAGAACAGCTTGAAGGTCAGGTAGAAGTAGACTGTGATGTGCGAGAAGCTGAAAAGCTTAGTGACATCTCTGATGCTGCTCTCGATGAGCTGCGGACCCTGCTTGTTGAAGAAGACGGACCTCTGGTTGATGCTTTGGTGAAGTTCTTTCACATTGACACGCTTCGGAGGCTGACGATCTGGCCGCAGAAGCTCGCGATCAGAGAAGCAGCAGAAGAAATCTTGCAAGTGAGGTCTCAGTCGAAAAGGTGGAAGAGGAACCCAGGAATTTCGCATTTTTTCAGACAGCTGGAGCGCCGGGAGCCACCCGAGGACAGCCCACGAACTTTACACGCCTGACGCAGGCCGGTGGTCCTTTTCTTTGCCGGATTGGTTCCTGCCTTGTGGAGCGCGTGCTTCGTCGTTTTCCGGCATCTGAATGATGAGTTGGACATATCTGCATGTGGTTTTGTCTGCCCAAATGCAGGCATGGCACCTACCGCACAGTGACAAAACTCCATAGCAGTGCTTTGCAACCTTGGCCACCCGGAGAAGCTCCGCCACGGACCCAAGTCAAGGCTGGCAATGCGACTTGCCATGCAGCAGCCTGGTGCAAGCGGCAACGGTTTAGTGAGTTTCACAAGGGTGGGGTCTCCGTGCTTCGGTGATGGGACACGACGGGCAATGGTGTTGAAGCGGATCCTTGGAGACGCTTGCAGCTTCCAGGCATCTCCGGAGCCTCGAGCGGCGCGTGCCCAGAACCTATGCGGTGCTGGTGCAGAGCTGCCTTCTGCTTCTTAGAAAAAAAGAGCTCCTCTTGAAGCCCAGCGGCCAGGGCACAGCTATTGCCTAGCTTTCTTGATATGCAGGAAGTCTTCAACGAAGTGCCCAAGGCCTCTGCCCCAGTTTGGGTGGATGCTGTGCCTTCGCAGGCTCTGTTGAGATGTGGAGGCGATGGTTCTGAGGCTGTGTAAGCGACCCACCCTCTATCACTGTCTCTTGCCCAGCGCCAGGCCAACCGTAGCTGCTGTCGCTGCTTGACTGTTGTACCAGGACACAGGCCACGTGGTGCTCGCCAGCAACATTGCTGAAAGCTCCTTGACTTTGTCACGCCCCGAGTTTCTAGCACTTGATCTCACGCATTTTTTTCACCACAGGATGCTCGGTGGTCTGCTCTGTAGTGGAGTCATGCGAACTGCTGAGGCCTAGTGTTTGTGCAGTTGTGGATCTGGCTCTCAGACGGACCGTGCAGTGCCCTGGCATCGAACTCGGAGTGCACAAGCTCCAAACCTTTATGCATGTCCCGGGACTTGTTCATGCTCGAGAAAGTAAAAGCCCGAGCCCCGAAGCTACGAAGTTCACCACAAGAGCTCGAAACGTTGACAACAAGCGCCAAAGGCCAGATAATTGGCACTCAAGAAAGGGAAGGAAGGGTCTTTGGTTGGCCGAGGAATCATCACACTATCGAGCTTTGGAGCCAGGGGTTCAGGTGACTGCAGGGTTTACGAGACGCGCGGATGTTTCTTTTTCGAGACTCCACGCAGACTCCAAGAGTTCTTTTGCAAGACGCTGAGCTCACGGGCATCTGTGCTTGCGATTAGCCTCTACAGTGCACGTTGGTTCGTCATTGCAATTGACATGGAATGGCATTGAGTCGATGACCGATGTGCAAGAACAGGTACGACACCCGTCGGCTGATGTGCTGCTTGGTGACGACCTGGTGCTCCCAGAGTTCTTGCAGCCGGGACTTGAACATGTAGGGGTCTTCCGGGCGTATTGAAGTTTTTGGGTGGGTGAACCGGGTGCCACATGCTGTGGAGGGAGGGGAAAAGCCAAGTAATTGGGCCGATGACTTTGGTAGACATGCCTGCACGCACTTTAGACGGGCATGTCTTCTCAAGAAGTCTCGAGTCGCGGAGCACCTTTGGTCACCTGAGGCAAGCAGCGGCGAGGCCGAGCAGGCTCGTGGACCATCTGAGTTTTTCCAACAATCGGACAGCGAAGATGGGCACGATGGAACGTTCAGGGGCCCTGCTTGCTTCGACCTCGAATTTCGCGAGAGTGCACAGGACGGACAATGCCGGGGCGCGCCCTCTGCCTCGTTCCTCGGCGCTTCTTTGAGTCAGAACTGCCCGGCGGCCAAGGGAGGACCAGGGGAAGCATTCTTGAAGAAGCCCAGTAAGAATGCAAGCAGAGACGTGCACTGCTTGAGAAAGTTTCGAGGCCTGCATTCGACCCGCCCGAGATGCTGAACGCACCTTTGACGAAGCTCTATTTGCAGGCCTGTGCCCCTCATTTAACACAGGCTTTGGGCTAAAGCATATTAACACTCAACAAGTCGCTACAGCTCATAGTGCTGTGCCTAGACTTTTCTTGCCGCTTCCTGCCAGGCAAAGCAGCTCTGTTCGACTTTGTCTCGAGTTTCAGATCGGGTTCAATTGCCGCAGATGGCCTAGAAGCTCGCTCGTCTTCCCACAAAATTGACTGGGTTCCTTCTCGCATCGCTCGCATAGGCCCGATGTCCACATGGACATCTCCTCCCCAAAGGCATTGCTGAACGAGGCGGGGAAGCTTTCTTGCCTTTTCTTGCCCTGGATCGGACTATGGTTGCCGATGGTTGCCGTGCGAGACGTGCCGTGCACTGTCCGAGCACAGGTTGTGCAGCCGCCTTCGCTCAGCTTGCTGGACGTTTTATGCTCAGCTCTGCGGCTCTGCACGGGGAAGAGCCAAACTGCAACAAGTGGAAGAGGCTCGGAGCATTTGCAGAATGTGGCTCCGTAGTTCGACGGAGCTTGTCCAGTGCTCCATCTTGTCCTGAAGTTCTCCAATTCTAGAGACACATCTGTCATTCCTTCTGTGCGCGTTTGGGGTGCCGGCAAATGAGCTGATGCTATGCAGCTCGGCCACGAACACTGAGGCGGCCATCCAAGAGCTGTCTGCGGTGGGCTGCCTGACAATGCCGACGGAGGACGTCCGGCGGATCATTGATTGGATGCTGCGGCAGACATGAAGGGAATTCGTGCATCATTGCGTTGAGAGGAGGCGGAGATCACACCGCTGGGGCAAATTGCCGTTGTCAGGCTCCCAAGTCCAAGAAGAGAAAGAATTTCCGTCTGCCTAACAAACTCAACATTTCTTATACAGAGCATGACCTAGGCACTGCCCTGCGATCTTCGCATTTGTCGCCTCCTGTTCCTCGGCTGCTTGTTCGGATGCCATGGCCTGAGTATCCTCTTCCGTTCTGTGTGCGACGGTATGCATGGCGACGCAAACATGCATGTACATGGGCGGGGCACATGCACATCAATCGTATCCGTGCCTACATGCACCCGCGCATGCACAGTCGTCGGGCATGCGAATCAACGAATCAACTGCTCGGCTTGCATTCATGTTTTCATGGACACATTCATGCTTTCATGCCTTCATGCCTCTCGCTCGCACACTCACTATTTCAGCTAAGCAGTGATACGACTGCGTGCGACCATGCGCAGTTGCACGGAGCTTCAGTGCGGTGTCAGAGACCAGGGATGTGTGACTGCCAGGCCCAACGGACGCCTGGCGCCGAGCCCGAAGCCTCTGCTTAAACGCAGCACGCAGCAAGCAGACATCCCGTTCTGTCCGCTCTCCGTGCGAGGCGCTGGCCATGGCGGCCGGGCTGACGGGTCCGGATCCCTTCAGCACCCCCTCGCTCCTCGTTTTGAAGGAGCGGGAGAGCCGCCGGTGCCGCCGCGCTTGCCCCTAAAGTGCCAAAGCGCTACAAAGTAGCGGCTCGTAGCGGCCTAGCCGAGCGAGGACCAGAAAGAATACGTGCAGAAGTTGGAGCGATCATTCGCTTCACGGCGGTGGTGCGATCACGGGACTGAACCAGCTTGAGGGATTCAGACAGCGGGGATTGTGTTCTGTCGTGTTGCTTCTTTTCTGCGCCTCTTGTCAGGACGTTCTCTGAGCCGATTATGATGCACTCACTTTTCAAGGAGTGGATTCGTATGGGCCCCGGCATACCTCCGTACCGTCAGCACTGCCCCAGCAAGGCACATCAAGGCACCAGAGACGCCTGAAGGTTTGAAGAGCCTCTAGCGGTTGCTGTGCAGCTCTCCGCTGCGAAACGTTCCTTATTACTGTGACATCATGGAGCATGCCATGCCTAGGCTAAGAGCCAAGCGCCAGGTACCATTGCTTTGTTTGTTCACATTGCGTGCTTCTTCAGCTTTCTCTCAGCCTCTGGTTCGTGTGCCATCGTTATTCTCGGGCTCTCACACCTCCTTCTGTCCCCTCCATGCCCAGGTGCGGGCGCACCTCGAGGTGCCAAGGCACTCGGCTCGTTCGTCCGTGATTGGCAGTGGTCTCAGCGGCCCAGAACGACAGCTCTTTTCTTTCATCTCATGTTTCTCGCAAGAAAGAAGGACCTAAGGACACAATCCTCGCGACTCCTCTTTCCAGTTGCTGGGCGGGTGTGGGGTGGGTGCAGCACGGTCAGGTCCATCATTCCAAAGAAGTTTGAATCGCTCACGGCAGATGCGACCGAGCTGACAGTCGAGCCCTGGGAGCACTGAGTTGCATCTGCCTGGGGCGTACTTTGTTTTTGCATCGGCAAGGTCCGGTTCCTGAAACTTCTGAAGTCCGGGCGGCCTCGCAGCAATCTGGAGGCACCGGCCGATTGCTCCTGGGAGCCGCAGTGTCCGATCGCTGATTCCTTCGATGCTCGTGCCTTTTCTTTCCGAAGCTCTTTGTGGCTTGCAGTCACTCGCAAGGCTGCCGTCTGCCAATGATCGGGGTATCCCAGTTACTGCACCTGTATTGAAACAGTCTACAGTGGATCTCAACATTCCTCAGAAGAATCTGAGAAGCTTTATGCCAACCTGCTTTATCTTTTTAGGCGCACAAGAGCCTAAGCCTAAGCGTCCTGGCACGTCATGACAGCAGAATCCGAAGGGCCATCTGCAGATGCGGAGCCGCAGGCGGGGACTTGCTGCAGATCCAAGCTCTTACGAAAGGAATGCCATGCAGGCGCCGGTCTCAGCGGGCATGCGGCAATTCCTCGTGCCTCTAATCCTGACACTTGGATGCAGCGAAAGAAGCTGAAAGTTCAGATGCAGAAAATCGTGAACAGACTTCGCCGAGGCCCGGCGTACTACAGGGAAAGGCGCAGACCTTTGTTTCCCCGATGCTTCCTCTCTTCGTTGTGGAACTTGGGGGTTCGCACAGCATGGTCGGAACCATTGCCTCAGCCTATGCTGTGGCACAGTTTTTTGGCTCTGCCCCTGCACCTTGGCTCCACCTTAACAAAACTGTCAAGAAACATAGTCAGGGTACAGTGCGACTCGGCCCGCGGCGGAAAGCCTTACAGGTGGGCGTCGTCATGCAGCACCTACATTATGCGACAGCGGCGTGCATGGCCCTCTCTCTGCAGGTCACAACTGCAGTCCTGTCGTTCGTGTCGCAGTCCGTATATGTGCTTCTGGGAATTCGGATCGTTGGTGGCATCGGAGCCACTGCTTTCGACATATCGCGGAAGGCATACATAGCTGCTGAGGTACCATCTTCCATTCGTGGACGGGTTGTCGCTTTTCTCGCAAGCCTTCAAAAATGGGCCGTGATGATTTCAGCTTTGCTGAGTGGGATTGTGGCTGAACATATGGCCACTCGGAGCGTTTTCCTTGTGCAGGCTCTTCTGTCCCTCTCTGCCATGCTACTCATTGCAGGCCACCGGATAGTTTCTAGTCAAAGGCGGGAAGCTGAAAGTTTCCCAGGGCCGAATGAGGGAACGGCCACGACGAATTCCACGAGAAGCCCTCCTAGGCCGACGCAGACTCTGTCCCTCTTCGGAGTTCTCGGTGCTCACTGGCGGTCACTTGTCGGAGCTGGTCTTTACTGCGCAATGCTCACTGGCGTTCGAAATACCTGGATGGTTGCCTTGCCTTTGCGTGGGCACCATATAGGTCTGAGCAAGGTCGGAATTGGAGTCGCCGTTGCGGGCTTTCGGGCGTGTGATGCCAGCATCACCTTTCTGGCAGCAGGTCACATCATGGACAAGTATGGCCTGAAGGCAGCAGCTATCCCCTCCATGATTTTGATGGGTGCTGCATTTGCGCTACTCTCTACGGTTCGGAATCCTGTGATGCTCGGAGTCGCAGCAGTAGTGGCTGGTGTTGGAAACGGCATTTGCGGCGGCATCGTAAACGCATTTGCAACAGGATTAGCCCCAGCGCATGCACGCACTCAATTCCTGGGTCTCTGGAAGACGGTTACGGCCATCGGTGGTATCTTGCTCCCTCCGCTCTTTGGCGCAGTTTCCGATGTAACCTCGCTGGACATCGCCGACTTCTGTGTTTCTGCTGCTGCTTTCGTTGCTGTGGCCTGGATACTTTTGATGGTGCGAGAGATAGCCCCTAAGGCAGCGCGAGACACGCAAGTTACAGTGTCTCTCGCTGCTCCAAGTCCGGTGCCATAGGCACTTGAGGAAAACGGTCTGCCGCAGAAGCCAAAGATGCAAACGACAATCCCATCACCATCGCCTCGACCTCGCTCTGCTCGTAGGAGCTCCTCAGTGCGATGCACCACAAAGTCGACAAGGGAGATGCGTGGCTCTCGGAGAACGCCTGAGCTCGAGAGTGGGAATTTTGCGAACTGCTTCGGATTGCAGCATTGGCCCTCAAAGAAAGTCAAAGAAATGACCAAGCGACCAAGCGCTTCTACAAAGCAAAGCAAGTCTTGAGCACTGTCTTGCAACCACATGCAACATGACATGATTGGAAGGCAGAACCAATTCTCTTTTCGTTTGATTTCCCGCGATCACGCTTGAGCAACCCCCCCTGCCCGCCCTTAAGACAGACACACCACACGTGCCGAGCCTTGCCCTACCATGTCCTACAGCGATGCCGTCAGCAGCTCTGCCAAAGCAGCGGCTCCCAGGACTTGGACCCCTCAACCCAGAACATGAGCTTCGCTGCTCATCCAAGCGCGAAAGGTCTTCCACTTCCAACTGAGAGGGCTGATCTGAAAGTGCCTGTAGAATTGTAGAAATCGCCAGGAAGGGCTTCAAGTTGGTTCTCCTGGGTGATGCCTCCGATACTCAGAAGCATCTAGTGATATTGATGTGCATTTTTTGGGTTGAGCGAAAAGCTTTCGAACCGCTTCGATCCCCGCTGTTGCAGCATGTTGGAGCTTTCCGACTACGACTGCCGGTTCTTAATCGTATCTGGTTCGTCTAAAATGATCTACCTACAGGTGGGGAAGTCCAGCATCTTGCTCAGATTCCTTCACAACAAGTTTTCTGAAGAAATCGCGTCTCGGCTGCTTCCAGACTATATAAGCATGACTACCCTGTGATTCTTGTTGGCAGTTCTGCCTGAAGCCATCTGCCCCAAAAGACCAAGAAAGGTGAGACGTGAGATCCCCACATGCCTTCTTGTCTTCGTAGCCCAGGCAACGACCGTGGGCGCTGCCTTCAACACGAAAACTATCGAGTCGAAAGGGCGCCAGGCCAGAGGGACACAACCTTTACCTTCGTAAGCCCTGCAAGCGTCGAATAGACACGATTAATCAACCTTTTGGTCCTGAAGGGAGTTCGAAGGAGACATTGGTTCTTGATGAAACAGTCTTCGCCAGGTCAAGTTCGAGATCTGGGACACCGCAGGTCAGGAGCGCTTTCGCAGCCTGGCGCCGATGTACTACAGGTGCGCTCAGCCTGACTTCGGAAAAAGCGGAGAGGACTCCGTTGCTGCAGAGAGCACCATGTCAGGGGCGCTTCTGCAGCGATCGTGGTCTATGACCAGACCAATGCCGTGACCTTCGATCGAGCACAGGAGTGGGTTCGAGAGGCTCGATTGACGTGGGATGATGTAAGGGGACGTGTGCACACCGTGCGCAGGTCATGTCAACCTCCACCAATCCAAACATCGTGATCGCGCTCGCAGCGAACAAGGCGGACATGGAGTCCAAGCAGCAAGTCCCCTGGGAGAAGGCAGAGAGGTTTGCTCAACAGCAAGGCCTGCTCCTAGGCTCGAAAGCACAGCCATTTGCCTAAGCCAATGCGTTGACGTCGTAGCAGTGGATGCGTTTAGATGGTGTTCGGCTTAGCTTGTTATATACGAACCGAAAACTATCATATCAGTGATACTTGGACGAGTGCTTGAATCATGCGTCTACACGGTGTTCTCAAGGCCTAGACGTACCTGCATGCAGGCAGGCAGGCAGACAGACAGACAGATCAAGATCCACTTCTTTCCTCCCCTTCAGTAGAAGATTGGGCCGCCCTAGACCACATGCTAACTACTGGCACACTAATTGATTCTTTTATTTAGCATGGTTCGTTTTTCCAACAGATGATTAGCAACAGGCACCTCCCCATTGTTGGGAGTAACTACCCTATGCGCCCGTCTCCTTCTAGGGAAGATAAATTGGATGATTCCTGCACCAAAAAACATTATGCTGCTGCAGAAACAGATGTGCTTTCTCTTACCGATAACCAGTTCCCTGACATATCCATCAGTTGCGTAATTTTCGCCCTTCCTGGCAAGCTTGATCCTTCGAAAAACGAAGGTCTCCTGGGCCGGACCAAATCCCCGTAGAACTCCTTCAAGGAGCCCCTTGCGTATTTCGCTATATCTTTTGGATCACTATAACCATTGCTGCTCCACAGGAGGAGCCCCAGCAAATTGGCTCCACGGAAGTTGTAATGCTGGTTAAGAAGAACTACCAGAAAGATATTAAGCTCCTTTCGAACTATCGCCCCATTTCTCTCACCAATACAATGTATAAAGTCTAGCATCTCTCATCCAAAAACGGCTTGCGTATCACTTTGACCATCGTTTGAGGCAAGCACAGTTTGGTTTTCGCTCAGGTCGTTCAGTCACTCACCCCATCCACATTCAACGTCGTTTAGTTGAGGTTCATGAACGGCAGACGGGATCATCTCTTGCCATGCTTCCCGACTGGGCTAAAGCGTTCGATTCCGTAGCCTGCTCTGCCATAGAATCCTGTCTCGAGCCCCACCTCTATCCGAAAAGCAATTAGCTCATTCTATCAAAATCCTGGGTCCTAGGTTTGGGCTCCGAGACAGTCACCAAACCTCCTTTCAACATACCCAAACCCGAGGCTTACGCCAAGGGTGTCCCCTCTCCCCTTGTTTGTTCAGCTTTGTGCTCTCCCATCTGTTCGAAGAAGTTGAACAGGAATACCAGCGCACTTTCGGCCTCATCTCCGGAGTTCCGACTAGGCTCTCCTTTGTGGGACTTGGAATATGCCGACGACACAGTATTATAGTCTTCAAGAAGTTGACAAAACTCCGTCACCCGACGCGGCGTTTACGCGTAAACTCTATAAACCACGGACCTCCTTTCCCCTATAGACGACCTCCAGGTTCCCTTAGCTGATGCTGTAAAGTATTTGGAGGTGTTCTGGACCTGCGTTCTGACAATCGTAAAAACGTCTCCACCCGGGTCTCAAGAGCAATGGATGCATGTAAAGAACTCTCCCCTCTCATGAAACATGGACTTCTCCCTTCCAGAAGCTCCTGGTTTGTAGATCTGTAGTCCAATCCGTTCTCATGTATGCGATGGACAGTATTTTGCTTACACCCTCCCTGCTCATGCTTACACCCTCCCTGCTCACAAAACTCCATTCTGTTCATTTTAAGTGCCTCCGACGCATTTGTCAGATGAAAGCATAGTACCGCGGAGTTCTTAACCCTTCTGCTGCTCAATGCTCCAATCAATACTTGGCTGCCCTAGCCTCTCATCGTGCAGGGCAATCACCCCCTCACAACTGTGCTCCCAAGGTCGACTCACCTTCCTAGGCAATCTATGCAGATACCTTAACTCCGTAGAGGCACGGCCACCTTTATGCCTTCTGCTGCGTATAGGCACAAGCCGCAATCGGGTAGGACGCCCCAACCCCCATTGGGCGGAATCTTGCCTAGTGGAAGCCTCTCTGAGTCTCTAGTGCATTCCTCGCAGCGTGCTGTATGGATGGACAACACTCCTCCTTACCGCAAAGTTTCTACAGTTGCTGGTCAAGGAGCATCCTGGACTAGGGTTGTGCGTAAGCCAAGCCGCAAATCCCATAAGCGCCTCTGAACGGTCGGTGCAGATGGGACCCAGCTTGGACCCTGCGCTTGTACAGAAAAGTATCTTTTATACTTCTATTTGTTTGTATTTGTATACATATATATATATATACATACACATACAGGTAGAACATGTTCCATATATGGGACATAAAATATGCGTAAATGTTTGTGTATATACATTAATAATTCAAAACGGTAAAGGCAAATCTGGTGCATATGTGTATATGTAAAAATCAATGAACTCTTTTGGGTCCGGTTCAGGAAATGGGAATAACTTGGAGGCGCTGGAACAGGATGTAGGGGCTTTTCGGGTCTGCGGCCTAGGCTTTGTAATTTGTGCGGGGTTTGGGCTCGAGGCTTAGCCAAACCAGCACCACCCCACCAACAACTCCAAGTAGTTACTTGACTTGAATGGACCCCTTTAAACCGATGACAAAGGTGGCTAACATGACATTGGGTGTTGGCATTTCGGCCTTTGAACTAGAAGAAGAGCAACAAGCCCGTAGTTCAGGGCACAGACTCCACGAGTGTGATACTGTTGAAGTTACAAAGTTACCGAATGGATGGCCACTGGATGTACCTGAGTTGCAAACCTTGCGTGGACAACCGTGACACTGCCTTCGGGTTCGAGTAATCTAACCTTATTTGGTTAATTAGGCTAGCAGACTACATGAGTGTGGCGAGATTTCTGGATTTAGCTACATAGCTCTGACCGGGCTCAAGTTACAATTTAACTGCAGACTTACACTTCTTTGTTCAACTCCTGGTTTCAAATCCTGCCACATTTACACGCATGCGCATGTATGCCTATGCTTATGTTTATGTGACTACTCATGTTCATGGCTTTGCTTATATCAAAGCATTTGTGCCATGCTTACATTGCATTTACATGTCCATGCATAGTTTGTCTTTTCAAGTTTTCGTTTGTTTTATGTTGGTGTTCGATCCTGTGCTCATGTTTATGTGGTGTTCAAGGTTACGGTTAGTGTCCATGGTTATGAATAAGTTCAGGTTTATGTTTATGTTTGGGTCTGTGCATACATATTCACATGATTATACAGACATACATATACTTATCTAAGGTTATATTATATAGGTATGAATACTTGTCCTATATACCCACATAAGAGAGCCTGTGAATCCTGTGATGCCTGAGGTTCCTCCTGGACACATCTGCGATGACTGGGAAGTAGCTCTCCGTCAACCTGGTACGTTTCAATTCGGTTCACTTCGGGCAAGCATTACAAATCTGTTGTTGGTTATGGCCGACACTCGTCACTTGTACATCTCAGGAACGTCCTGCGGCTTTTTGAGGGCATAGCTGAACTGCTGCCTGATGAGCCTTTCATGCCTCAGCAGCGCGGGCTGCAAGTGACGTGGACATAGTTCAGCATCCTTCTCTTTGCCTTCTGCCGTTTTTCTGCTATTTAGATGAGCGTCTTTTTCCATCGATCGTCGCAGGTTTTAACAACACCGACGACCACTAACGCCACGGCGGCGACTGACCAGAAAGCCTCTGCAAGGAGCAGATGTTGCTAGCACAGCCCTCCTACAGCACTGAGCGTGTTCTGTTAGCGATCATCAGGCAAAATGCCTGCAGCACTCCAGAAAGTCGGATGGCATCTGCACTAGGACATACTAGGACCAAGACCAGGGACAGCACGGGCACAGAGCCATCTGAACTTTCTTCACTGCTTGTACCGCTGCCTTAGGGCAGCGCGCGAGCCTGACGAAGCCCCACTCGTTGACTTAGTCCATGTCTCTGCGACACTTCCGAGTGCACGCTTCGAGAACTAATTTGTACGGATAGCTGATTTGTGCAGGGATCGCATTTTCTCGGGTTTGCATGGGATGGCGATTTGGTAGAACTGTCTGACATGTGAAGCAGGTCTGGACGGCATGCTTCGCTCTGTGGCTTGCCGAATCATGCGTTTGTCTTTAAGGACCTCCTCCGGACGTCGGGCTGGGGAAACCCAGAACGAATATTCAGCAGCACGCAGCTCAGACATCATGTCGACACTTTCACTCTGCCAAGACGGCACGGCCAAGGTGACGTCGACAAGCTGCGCTGCTTGCTAGCTATGGCTTTCAGTGACCAGGCTTGGTGAGTCTAGGCAGTTATGCAAAGTCAGCGCAGTGTCACAAATCTGGCGAACTGGCGTGGGAACCTATTTTTTGGGGGCCCTTTTTATTTTTTGTTGTGGGGCCTCTTTTCTTTTTGGTCAGGCGGGTGGGGAAAGGAAGGGAGGGAGGGAGGGAGGGAGGGAGGGAGGGAGGAAGGGAGGAAGGAAGGACACAAGGAAGCAAGGAAGGAAGGAAGGAAGGAAGGAAGGACGGAAGGGAGGGAGGAAGGAAGAACGCAAGGGAGCAAGGAAGGAAGGAAGCACGGAAGGAATACACATATACATAGACAGCAGCCTTAAGGCCATCTATAGTAGGCTTAGTACCGCCCATAATCTGATTCTCTTATTCTAGTTGCAACCTTAGTCAGCTAGAGGAAATCGCAGTGGTAGCTGTGACAACCCTGATATCTTGGTTCCTGGTCTGTGTTAAACCTGCAGTACTAGTTCCCTATTTACGCCAAAACTGATCCGAATAATGTCCTGGTTACTACCTATTGTATAGTGTTAATCCTAAGCGGAATCGAATCCCAATAGTACTGACACTCGACGAGCTTTATTGGCAACACTAATTCGCAATGCCCGCAAACAACAAATGAAATACACACTCATTGCTAAGACAAATTTGATCTTGAATTTTTTGTTTAGGAAAAGATGGGTTTGGGACGAAAAGCCAACCTTTTCCTAGGAAAAAGATTGTTTTGGACCGAAAATCAAGGGAAAACGAAAAGATTGTTTTGGTTCGAAATATCAAGGGAAAACCGAGAAAAGCAAAACATGAAACACACACATTGTTTGCGAAACTATACGGGCAACTGTTTTTTTGGGTTCTCCCCAGGAAAAGTTAGTTTTCCTGCCCAAAACAATCTTTCCTGGGAAAAATTGTGTTTCATCCTGACACCAGTTTTTCCTACGAAAACATCGGTTTTATTGACCAAAACCATCTTGTTGCTAGGAAAGGTAGGCTTTTGGCACAAAACTTTCTTTTTCCTGGGAAAAAGATGGTTTTGGGCAGCAAAACCCATTTTTTCCTAGGGGAAAAAACAATCTTTTGGAGTCTGGCCGCATAGTTTCCGGTGTTTTTTATTTTTGGATTTCACTAGGAAGAAATGGGTTTTTCGGTCCATCACCATTTTTTCCCTGAGAAATTGTTGGTTTTTCGGCCCAAAACCATCCTTTTTTCCTAGGAAAAGTTTGGTTTTGCACCGAAAACCAATATTTTCCTAAGGGAAAGCCAAAGAAACAATCTTTTTGGAGTCTGGCCGTATTGTTTTCAAAACATGTTTTTTTGTTTTTGTTTTTCGGTTCCCCCTAGGAAAAAGTTGGTTTTTGATTGGAAGAGTACAGTGTTGCCGTTAAGTGCGTGCGCACGTCGAACCTAAACGAGTTGCTTGGCGGTTGGTTTTTGATTGGAAGAGTACAGCCATTGGGTGCGTGCTCACGTCGAACCTGAACGAGTTGCCCGGCTAGTTCTTTTGAAATGTGTGTTTGGTTTTGGCAGCCTTTCAGAGATACGGAATCCGGACCTGCCGGAAAAGCTGGCTTAACACGATATTAACAACACAAAACAAAGGGTCGGTAGTTCATGGGCGGATTACCATATGTATATAGATGACAAGGGTTAATGTACATGCATGTAACATACAATTTGTGTATTCATATATAGAAAGAGTATGTACTTTTATAATCGGTATATATCAGGAAGGATGCGTTTGGTTTGCAGTGTATGCGTTTCCAGCAAGAGAATAAGGGATCGAATCGTTGGGTTTCTTTCGGGTTAAGGAAACGAGTCGTCGCGTTTCGTTATATACATATATATTTATATTATATATATTATATATATATACATATATATATATAATTTCTGTATAGAGTGAAAGCATATATGCATGTATTGTTTTACCATGTTGCACATATTGGGGCAGACTCGACAGCCTATATAGTGAATCTAATGTAACAGATATCTATATCTATATATATATATATACACATAACATATACATGTTCTGTACCTGCTGTACATACTCTTCACAAATCGGTTTCCACACTATATATATATATATACCATATGAGCATTACCAACACCTACTTGTACACAGGTGTATTCAATGAAGCGTTTCCTTAAACGGGTCGGAAGGGTTTCGCAAAGAGCGGCTTCCGTAAGGACTCCTGTAAAGGGTTCGTTTGTGCTGAATCTCCTACCCCTGCACGGAATCCCGTAAAGTACAGTGAACAAGTGTACTGTCCTAGCAAACCCCACCGACGCCGCCGGCCTCTTCCGAAAAAAAAGGTCCCCCAAAAAACCTTTGCAACAATAACTCCATCCAGCTGGCGTGGCTGGTAGTCAACAATCGAAAACCAAGCGTATTCTGCGAACGCGCCGCCTGAGCATTATTCATTCTACCATCGTGCTTGCGATTTCATGCAGACATTTTTGCAGATGCTCTTGCACCTGAATCCACGCTGGGCTCCATCTTCTGGTGGCAAGAAGCGCTTGGAAGAGCAGGCCCGCAGAGCTCACGAAGGGCACAGGAGTGTACCGCGCTTGCTTTCAACTTCTGCGGGCTGTTGTGAAGTGGACAGACGTGGCAGGTCATGCTTGCATGGGTACGACGAGAATTCGAAGAGAGTACATCTCTATAGATAATAGTAATGACGGTCGATTGATCTTGCGTTCTTTTGTCACTTTGTAATGCATGCCTGGCGCTCGGTCTTCGTCGCAGGATGGAGTTAGGCTTGAGACGGCTGTTGCCGTCACGCCTCGAAGAACATGAGCCATAAGGCCACAAGGACGTTTGTTCAGTCTTCTGGATGCTTCATGATGAGCAGATATTACGGCTCCGAACCCACCTCAATCAGCCCAACTTTCATTCTTGCCCACGACCGTTCAACAGTCAAAGCAAGCACTTTGTCACAAGATGCTCGCATCAGATGTAGGCATGCTGTGCATTGTTGGTTCCAGTATTGCTGCTGTCGGCACGAGATGGCATGATTAGCCATCCAGACTTCGGCCGCAGCCTCGCAGAGTGAAGAGGATTGAGGTCACATCATGTGCGGCTTTCCGAAGCTGAGGCAGCCTCGGGCCTGGGCCTGGCGGGCCTTGCCTGGGCCCTGGTGGCCGGGAGGACGATGAGGCCGAGAGATCAGCAGAGCAGAGCAAAGGCTTTCCTTTCTCACACATGCAAGCGATGCCAGGACAGTCCTGGTGGTGACAGCAATACCTCGTCCCGATCTTGGCTAACACTTCCTGCTGTCGTATGCATGGACCGGTACACAGAATGATGCGCTGGAGAGGTTTCTAGGGATCGGTTTAGTTGTGCAGCATTTTGCAGTCTTGCGGTGGCGGCTGGCCGACTGCTGGATGAGCGTGAGGAGACGCGACCTGTGCTCTGTGCTGGGAGCTGAGTGTACCGTCTAGGGGTCTTTCTTGCCCGTGACGGGAGTTGTCTTTTGGCGGGGCTTTAGCCGGACGTGGATCGGGCACGGCCTTGCAAAAACAATCGCACCCGGCGTGAAGCATGCTGGGGTGCCTGCCAAAAACTTTTCCATCGTCTCAATGCCAGCTGCTCTTAAGAATCTGCCTCCGCACCTAACTACCCAGGACGAGTTAAGACATGTAACAGCGTACCCCATGTCATGACTAAAAATCATGTCGGACAGCCGCGAATGGCTTGAAAGGTTCAAACTGCTGGGACCCCTAGGTCCTGCGGCTTGTGGGCGCTGATGCAAAGCTTCGGTGCAAGTCCCACCATGCAAATGCAGAGACGTAACCCGAGTATCAGGGGCAACGTGAAGCCTCCGATGGCTGATTCGTACACTTACACTGAGTCACTAGGATCTAATTAAGCAGTGGGGCAGGAGGGAGGCCGTTCGAGACACTCGATCCAGGGATGTGCCATGCTCGCTGCTTAGGTCAACGGACATTCAGGCTTGACTTTTGAGCGAGATCCAAGATTTAGCGATTGAACCTTACTGATCTTAATCGTTGCACGTAGCACAGCAAAAAGCAGCACCGATGACGAATAGATAAAGAGGACGAGTCTCTTCGTGCTCACAGACAGAGGGAATGTCAACAGAGAGGTGTCGGGGTTAGCAGGCTGCAGAGAGGTTTGTGGCAGTGCATGCAACCCAGGCCGCTTCCCAGCGCCTGGCGCTTGGGCGACGGGAAGGCTGTGGGAGTTTGACCATGCGATCCGCGGTGCTTTCTCACCTCCTCTCAAACATATACATGCACGCATGCATATACATACATACACCCACCCCCATCCATATATATATATATATATATGTATATGTATATATGTATATACGTACATGTGTATATGTATATATGCACATGTAGATCGAGTCTCTGTGTGTGTGCATGCATGCATTCATGCATTCATGCATACACACACACACATATATATATGCGTACATACATGTATACCTACCTTATGCGCATATGTATATGTGTGTACACATACATGCTTGTACACACATATGTTTATACATCTCATCCAAAGCTATAATATGCTAACGAATGACAAAGCCTGGCAATCTTGGCGAGGCACGTCACGGGTAGCCATTGGCCCACCGCGGACGGTGCCGGCCGCAGCCGTGTCCAGCACAGTCAGCTGCCACACTCGCGTTTGCACCACTGTAATGTTTACAATGTTTGCAAGTCTGTTCAAAAGTACATGTCGCGCCGTTGTGGCTTATTTCAGATCACAGCAATACAACCGTCAGCGCAACACGAGCAATGCTGCAAGGGTGGTCGAAGGACTCTGTGAATCCGAGGCTATTCGAGGCCGCAAAGCCGCCTCTATGCCGGAGGCACCAACGCCGGCATCTCTGGTGTTGCAAAGCATCTGTGTCGTCTTGTCCTGTCACACTGCCGCCTCAGGTTAGCCAATTCACGTCGCGACCTCGAAAGCGGTCATGGCTGCACCGACATCCGCTGCCGTAAAGAACTGGGCGTCCAAGCACCAGGAGACCATCTCGGAGGCGCTGCCGCGCTCGTCCGGGACGTCGGTGTGTTTGGGATGCATTACGATGCATACGATGCTCCAGCAAGATCAGCAATGCAGGTTTAAGAGCAGACTATTGCTCAGTCCGCGGAACCGATGGCTGTTTTGCTCTGGCCGCTTGAACACGTGACAAGACTTGATGCTCAGGCTCGAGACGCTCCAAAAGCCCCTATAAAATGTCAAGCTATAGGCCCGAACCGTTCGAAACCGGTGTTGAGAGCCTCCAAAAATGCTAGACCCAACTTCGCCATGGGATGTACATGCATGGTGTAAAATGACATGAGATCGAGGACAAGCGGGATCTTGAGCTTTCCCACGCTGTCTGCGACATCCAAAACGTTGTAAGGGTTGATCGAGAAAGCAGGTGTTAACAGTGCTAACGGAAACGATGTTTCGAATCGCAGTCTTCGTTGCTTCGACCCGAGGCCTCGATGCCAAAGGGCCTCGAGAGCTCGACCTCAGGTGCCTTGCCGCCTCTTGTAGAGAGCTCGTGACAGCTCGTGCATCTATAAGCCCGCCAGTTACCACGACGCCGCCAGCTTGGTGCGATCGCAAACCGCCCGAGAGCTCCAGTTCGAGCAGGCTCCTCCGGCCAGCACCTAGTTTGCTGGGGACAAGCCTTGATGTCTTGGAACTTGTAGAGGTCAAATGCGACGACCAGCGCCGGCACGAGCGTGGTACGTCGAACCAGTGTCGCAGACTGACCTTTGCAGATGTGGGATTCTCGCAGCCTCAATCGCTGACGAGTCAGAGTTCAGTCAGATAGTCTTATCGCGCGCAGCATTGGCTTCGGTCCTTTGAGGCCCCCAGCAGCGCGGGGTCCACAGTGCTCCGCTCCAGCTGGGTGGATGGGACCTCGGCCTTTGCACGTTTGAACCGCCTCCGAATACCGCACAGTCTCAGACTGTCTGCGTCACCAAGGATCGACTTGCAGGGTCCAGTAAAGCCCTCAGCCGAAAAAGCTTAGCATCTTCTGATGTGTGAAGAAACACCGACAGCTGTGGTTTTGTCCGTTGCTACAAGTGGTCTGCATGCAAAGAGTACTCTGCGGGAGGTGCCAATGGAGTGCATGGGGACGTGTCAGCCAGAGCACTCGGATGATCGCAAGCCGTTGAGCCGCACCACGTGGGAACCGCTCCCTTGTTCGGGAACTTAGGTCAATGTCCGGCTACGCCCCGGCTCCAACTCGGAGGATGAACTTGGCATGCGAACTGAAAACTCTGAGTAACAATACTTCGCAGGACGATCGTTGTGCTGAGCCTTGCCGGGAACTCATGCACTCGGTGAGGCAGCCTTGTCTCTTGTGTTGTTCCGGCTTCGACCGTAATTTGCATCGAAGCCACAATTGGCATCCCTCCTCAAACCTCTATGCGTTGTAGTCCATGATGCCCACTGGCTTTAGTTTCAGTGGCGGTCCTGGTGTACCCTGCCGGCTAGTTCATGGATGCATCGAATCTTTATCGAGAGAATGAAGAAATCCGGGCTTCTGGTTCTCCGGGCAGGCTGCGCCAAATAGGCAGCAGATACGATCAGCTGGGCGAGGCCGGTTTAGATGTGGAATTGCCGCAAGTTGGGCTTCTACTTCATGCCCGGATCGGATACTTCCAGAAATACTATGGCATGAGCTGCAGACTGGGTCTCGACGTGGAAATCGGATATGCGCAGGCTCAGTACCAATTCGACCACGTTTTTCCAGAAGAGGCATCTCAGGAGGAGGCTCGTGCATGTGTGCTCTGTCGATGTGGGCCAACCAGGCTTGTTCAGCTTCCTGGGCACAAGTAAACTTCCTGTCCAGGTGATGTCTGCGTGTGTGGGCACGCAACAGTAAGTGCTCACCGGAGAGTTGAGGGTTCGGCCCGCCCGTCTTCACCATGATCTGGTCACCCCAGTCACACATCGGAACATCCCACCGCGGTCGAACTCGCCGAGTCACACATGCTGTTGTGTATGGATGGATGGAGGGATGGATGTACATGTGCATTGGCCGTATGTGCCTATCTCTCTGTGTATTTTTATCTAAGTACCAATGTATGTATGTATGCATGCATACATGTACGTATGTATGTATGTATGTATGTATGTATGTATGTATCAATTATATGTCTATGAATGAGTATAGTGAGGCTGCTACATGGCCTTTATGGTTTTGATGGGCATAAATGCCGGTGAGTGTGTCGGATGCTTATGTCTCTGTCTGTCTGTCTCTCTGTCCTCTCTGTCTCTCTGTCGTCTCTGTCCTCTCTGTCTCTCTGTCCGTCTGTCCGCCTGTCCGCCTGTCCGTCTGTCGGTCTGTCTGTGTGAATACAGGTGAGCAGATGGTCAGCTAGAGAGTTGACACAGCCTGCATGCATGTGCATACAAACACCGTTGACACACTTGTCCCCCAAAAAGATTGAGCATTGTCAGGTCTTCAACGTCACAGTGGCACCGATTTGCGAGGCCTAAACCCAAGACCTGGAGCCCAACAGTCGGAGGAGGTCTTCAGCAAATTCCTCCGCTCGAGGCGGTCATCAGTGGCTACAACGGCGCTGTGATCGCTTACGGCGGCTCTCTCGGTCGACTCCGACACAAACCGACGCACTGTTTCTGTCCTTACATAAGCTTCCGAGGCCAGACGGGGTCCGGCAAGACCCACACCGTCGTGGGAACCCCGAAGCAGCACACTCAGCCAACCTCCGTCGGAAATGCCTTTGAGTGGAGCTCGGTGAGGTTTAGAGGAGTTGCACCCAGAGCCATACACTGCATCTTCGATGCTTTGGCGCAAAGCCTGGTGCTTACCTTTTCAAGTGGCTTCTCTTGGACGATTGCAGATGACTTGCCTGGCAGGAACACTCTGGTCTGTTGATGTCTCAGTTCTCGAGATATACAATGAGCGCGCCCCAAGCCCAGCTCGGCTCGCAAGTGCGATTTCAAGCCTCTTCAGACATGATTTCCTTGCTGTTGCCCTGGCGATTCTTGTCACGTTTGAGGTGTGGCCCAGCTTGCTGTGCAGCTGGTGTCTGCATGCTAAGGTGAGAGATCTTCTGAATCCTGGAGCTGTGACCCACGTTGTTAGCTCAGATGGGCTGCAGTCGTCACGGCATGCACAACGTCAGTGCAGCTGATGGCGTAGATTCAGTGCAGGACAGGAGAAAACCTTGCCATCAGAATCAGCCGGCTGGTGGCAGCTGCGCATGTCGACTAGTCTTGCAGACCAGCAGAGATGACTTGCTGAAGCCATGATCAGTTTCACTTGCGCCATATAGGTGGACGTCCACGAAGTCCGGGGAGAGCATGAAGGCTGTGGCAGACCTTTGAGCGGTTCCGCGAAGTTTGTTAAGCAACGCCGGCACTATTTTGATAGTTGTCTTCGATCAGGCGCGAGCTTCCGGTGCCCGGATGCAGCACGACGACAGGCTCGATGTCTGAAGTGGTGCAGCTTCGTTCGCAATCCTCTGCGCCACATCCCCAGCATGCCGGGTTGTGATGTGTTGTAAACTTAGCATCAGCAAGCGCACCCTGCAGTAGCTGAGACGTGCAGGCCATGATGGTCCGGGGTGTTAGTACAATTTATTGAGTAATTCTTGCCAGCGACGGAGATGAAGCATGAGGTCTGCAAGTATGGCCACTATGGGTACCGCATCCTCCCTCCCCTCCCTCTCCCCTCCCTCCCTCAATTCACTTGCTTCTCTCTGGACAGGCTTGCACGCCCGAAGAGGCCTTAGCTGCTTTGGCAGAAGGCATGAAACGCAGGGCCAAGCCTGCAATGATTTTTTGCACCGCTTTGGCTGCTGTGGGTTCAACAGACTGCGTGATTCCAGTTCGCTGGGAATGCCGTCTCGCAGAACAGCATAAGGGCCGACTTGAGTGCATCGTGTAAGCGGCATCATGGCAGGAGACTGCGCGGACGGACATGAATCACCACAGCAGCAGGCATTTTGGCGGCACAGGGGCCGTGGACGGGCGAAAAGCGCGGTTCGGGGTGCCCTGGGTTGCGCTGAGGTCCCATCTGATCTTCACACTCACAGCGACCCAACGAGATCCCGAGATCGGGGCAACGCTGCGAGGGAGGCTCGGCGCACGGGCCATGCGCACGGGAGGGGTTGGCGAAAAGGGGCCGGCGGTTGGTAGGCTGCACTTGGTGGACTTAGCCGGCAGTGAGCGACTGAAGCGGACTCGGCCTCGGCAGATCGGAAGTCAGCACGCAGCATCTGAAGATATCTGAAGACGCTGAGGTCGATGTCCACGGAGTTCGCTTCTCCACGAGGCCCGGGAGCTTCACTCGGCGGCGGTTTGCTGATTCGATTCGGTCCAGGATCTTTGGCTATCTGTATACATTTTAGCATACGTATTGCGACCCGTGCAAGTACGCTCCCTCACGTACACTTCCCCTTCGCCCAAACATGTGTTACATCTCCATTTGGTCTCAGGCCAACCCCTCACGCGACGTGGAAGCGGCTCGGGGCATCGACCTTGACCATGCGAGTTGTTATATGCCACCGCTGTGTCTAGAAGGGAGACGCTGGTGATCGCTGGTACATGGATGACGGCACTGTGCATGCAGTATACATGATTCTTTCCAAGCGCAGCCATCTTGGCTCTGTGCTCCTTGAGCGAAACAACACCTGCAAAACAAGATTCTGTTATATTTGTAACAGCTTCTTCTGTCCGTTGCCCGGCGTTTCAGCATGAAGCACAAATCCTGACAGCTTGGCAACTCATGCTCCTGCAAAATTTCCGATGCCGCCTCGAATCGTCGACTGATGATAAGATGTCGTGTGATACTGCACTTGCCTGCAGTATCATCTGTAGTGGAGTCCTGGGTCGTGGTTGTCCTGCACATTGTCCCACACACACCCACGCCCAGCGGGAAAAGCTACTAGTCTACGTCTGCATCTGTGACCTCGCCTTCGGCAATGGGTGTTCAACGCACAAATGCTTCCTCTATACTGCATTGGGAAGCATACCAAAAACTTGCCGACATGCTGCCAGACATCCTCGAAGAGGCCATGATGCAGAAGCTTGGATTTTCAGTTTCAACAACACAGGGGTCTTTGTGCAACAGCCCCGGCCGGGCTAGCGGATTTCAGCTTACATTCTGGAGGGCCGCTTGCCGAGCGCGTCTGCTTGACGTGTAGCTCAGTGGTGCTGACCGTGCAGGGACGTCGCATCGGACACGACGTGGATCGAGATCCTCTTCTGGCGTCTGACCTGCAGTTATCAAGTGCTTGACAACCTTCACAGATGCTGCAACTGCCGCATGCATGCGTCTCGCAGAAGCTTTCGTCGCTCCTGCGGCTTCCGGCTGTTGTCTACAGATATCAAGCTGAGGCTCTCGACCCATCGAATCTTCTTCGCCGATACCTCGTTGCCGAGGATAGGTTGTATGTACGACATTGTATGACTGGTCTTCAATTGTCTCTTGCTTTGCGATGCGTGTTCTGAGCCGTCGTTTGCACGTGATACAGCTTCGGAACAGGACTGGCAAGTGGACAAAGCAGCGCAGCGCTTGCGAAGCACTATCGCCTGGCGGCGGGACTGGAGGGTGATGGAGTACTACCGGCCAGGCAGCTGACACATTGTGTCGAGTGGCGTGCATGTTGTGCAGTCGAGACGGCTGACAGCACAACGGCAGGCCGGAAGGGTAGAGCCCCGCACATCCAAACTCTCAACCTGTTGAGGCTGCGGCAACTATCTATATGACGAGATCTCCAACCCAGGTACCAATGCTGCATTTAGGCATCCGCGGCTGGGTCCTGGCACAGATGCTAAAGGGCCATCTCATCCTAACATGCCACTGCAGAATTGGCTTGAACATCAGCATGGTGAAAAAAATGAATCGAGGTTCGGAGATGTACTTTGCGGATTCGATGCACGTTGATCGCCAGGGCCGTCCGTACATGGTAAGCTTGGCAAGATAACACAAGCTTTCTTCAGGATCTTCAGTGCAACAACTTCCTTTCTCTTTGTGCCATCGACCGCGCACCTGCCATGGGTACCGAAGCAGATCTTACACGACTGAAGGATATCAACTTCTGGGTCTAGTCGGTTGAGCTCCGCCTTCGAACCGGAGGTCGGCCGAGTCAATCTTTGCAATGGTGAGCGAATGCACCCATGGAGGCGCCACGCCAGCCGGTACAGACGAGCTGAATCACTGCAGAATCTACAGAAATTAGATGCCCAGAGTCCCTGTGCTCAGGCATCTGCGTGCCGGCATTTACGCTCTGGACAGATTCGCCTTGAAAATCATTCAAAACGGTGCCTCGGTCGCGCATTTGCACTTCGACCGGTTCTAGCCTTCTGACCGGCTGTAGAGGAGTGCCATACGACATGTCGACTCAGGTTGTGGTTACGGAAGCTACCTGCTAGATATCGGGAGAGTATCTGGGCAGGTTTCGATGCATGCGGGTGGTTTGTCTGTCGGTAGGTGTGTTGACGGTCAGCGCATCTGGTGGGCCCAAGCCATTGTAGGCTGGCAGCAAACCGCAGGCTAATGTAGTGCTCAATACTGTGCATGGTGCAGTTGTTGTGGCCGAACCGAACCCAGGTGGCCGAGCAAGGTAAGTTCAGCGGCACAGGCGAGACCCTCGTTAAGCACGTCAGTGCTGACATTTGCGTGGAGACTGCATGATGCTTCTCAGAATCTCAGAATCAACAAGAGTTGCTGTGTTACCGTGAGGTGGTGGGGCGAACTTTCATCCCCAGGACTGGGTCACACCCGTGTCACACCAATTATTTTGAGATATACGATCAATAGTCTGAGTGTTCCTGCGGTACATGCTCACTCCTGTTCATGGTGCGTGGAATCGTCGCTGTCGTTCTGTAAGCGAGGCATATTTCCGAGGCAGTCACATGATTCTTGAGGGGCCTAGCACAGACACTGGTGGGTGCTGCACATATGTCAGTTGCAATGATCGGATACCACACGCGGCACTCTACATGAGACTACATGTTGGAGGTTAGTTCTTTTGATGCTAGACAGGTTGCTATCGGGGCTCCTGTTAATGTGCAAGGGCAAGAGAATGCCAACGTTCCGCGCTGGGTGTCGTCAATGCCGGGGTTTTCGACGCTTGTCTCCCCTTGTCTGCCTGCATGCAGCTCTTGAAATCAAAGTAGGTACTGCTTTGGTGGCTTCAAGTGTTTGGGGTCTTCGGGCCGGAGGGCGGGGGGAAACCTCGTGTTGTTGGTTTGTATGTGTCTTCGTCATGTTGGGGTTCTTGGATTTCTCTTTGCTGGCTGGTGGTGTTTCTCGGCCTTGAAGTTCGGTGAGATTCAACACTTGGCGGCTTCCAGCCTTGAATTTATCGATTTTGCATTTCTCGGAGTTCGTTGCCCGTCTTGTATCTGCGATTGCGAAGCTCCAGAAGCGTTTCGGTGGAATGGTCGGGCAACTGTGTGGATTCTGACGATGTCAGTCAGTCCGCAGTTTCCTCCTAGCCTGCTGGAAAGAGGAGTCCAAAAATCCCTACTATTTGGAAGGTGCAGGCGCAAGTGCCGATGCATGTCAGTTACCCATCTGCTTTATGACCAAGTCCTCGCATCCTGCAAGGCAAGGACGCTTCGAGTGAGCTGCTGGAGCGCTATGGGGAACTGAATAGCTCCTCAGACGCACAAATGCTGAACGCTCAATTCCGGACATATTCGTCCAAGTTATTAGACCTGCATTTGACGGTCAATGTGGCAGTGAGGCGGCATGTCCGTGCTACGTGCGGCTTTGCGGATTGCAGGGGAGCACTACCCTGAACTGCTGCCGGTCAGCACAGCGCCGGACCTCTTCATATGTGTTTTTTGCGAGATGTGGATTTGCAGTGCAGTGGCTGAGGCTGTCGCGGGTTGTTTTTCTTCGCAGCGACTGGCTGTTTTCTTTGGCCTTCAAAGTTTTTCGGCTGTGGGCCCACAAGAAGACCAGAGATGCTTGTCTATAAGGCAGCATTACAGTTCTTGACCCAAGTCCGTCAAGGCCGCGTTGTCATCACGCACGATTTTCCGGCCTAGGCATAGGCAAGGCCTATGCAGGCGACCAAGCATTAGATATCATTAGATTAATTCAGAAGCCCGGCGATAGTCTGGAAGATCCACCTGCCGACTCTGAGGACAAGTTCCTTTTCGTCGGTGGAAGGGCAGACCCACCAATGACGCAGCTGCTGGACACGCGCAAACATGCACGCAACGGACGGCGGTGAGCTGTTTTCGCTTTGTGTCTCTGTTCACGTGCGGCTGCACCAGGAGTGGTACCGTTCCGAGCAGCTTCCGCAGGAGAGCCTCTGCAAAAAAGAAGGCAAGTGATGTCAACAGTCGAGACAGGGAGGGAGACAGAGAGAGAGAAAGAGAGAGACAGAGAGACCGTCGCCATTTTGGCTCAAGCCTTGAGTGGTTCGACACCCGAGCCCCGAGAGTTCCAAGGGGAGCAACCCGGCGCGGGCCTGAGAGAGAGACCTGCGCCCAGCCATCGTTCTCCCGTACCAGTCCGCAGCACTACGCGTCTTCCTCGTCACCGCTCTGAACAGGGAGTTCGGTGACTTCACTCCTGTTGCTTGGCGAGAGAGGGACACTGCCCACCACTACCTGACGGTGACCGCCGAACCTACTCGACAACTACCTCTCCGGGGACCTTCGCCGGGAGCGCTTCACTGGGTGAGGGACACCATCGCGTACATGACCGTGATAGTGGCAACCCGACTGTGAATGCAAACCTCCATGGCTGGTGGAAACGGGGACATTCGCAAAGACGACGAGCTGATGACCGGGGCCATCATCCAGGCACTTCAAGGGGAGCTGCACGCGTGCTTCGCTAAAGCTCAAGCCCAGCTCGACGAAACGACCCTTCAGGTGGTCCGCGAAGCAGTTGCCCAGGCTGCCCGAAAAATCGAGCAGGTGGAACTTGACCTCAGCGACCAAGTGCACCAGGCTCGAAGGTGCATCCAGGAGCTCACGGAGAAGCGGGACAGTTTCGAGGTGCAAATGGCCAGGACGGCCGCTGTAAATAAGCAACTCCTGTCTAGAGTGCTGTTCCTTGAGGAAAAAGTCTCTGCGTTAATGCACCAGACGGGACCCGAAAGGCAACAGCTTCCGTCCACAGCAACACCACCGGCACGGGGACCTCCCCAAATGTATGAGTGTTCCCCTATCGTCTTTGCCTGTGCCCCTTGCTTCTCCTCAGGGGACCCGTGCCGCACACAAGCAACACACTCCACAAACCCTCTGTACAGCAACGGTAGCGACCGACCGAGCTCCAAAGAACAACCCGTGTTGTGACTACTGTTGTCCTAAATTGGGTTACCTGTATGCGTTTGTTACCGATCCTTGGAGCACCGCATCCCTGGCATCCTTTGCAACGACAAGGGAACGCACTGAGACATAGCACAGAGTGGGAGTCGGCACCAGCGAACCCGCCCAGGCGGGATGAGCAAGGGTTCGGGGACTTAATGGGAATCCCGGGGCAGGAGGTGCCGACACCCAAGCAGCTTTCACCTTGACTGAAAGACACCACACCTTGGCGTAGCGCGAGAGAGAGAGAGAGAGAGA